CCCCAAAACCCCAAAACCCCAAAACCCCAAAACCCCTATTTTTAAAACAAAAATTGAAAATTTCAGTAATTAATACCAAATTTCAAAATTTAGAGAAGAGAGATCGTCTCAGTAGTCTTACAGATGTATAAGACATTCAGCTTCTGGTACTGCTCAAGTGTTGTGAAGAAGTCTTCCTGAGTGAACCCTCCCTTGCCAACCACTGCTTTTTCGATCTTAGAGTACTTAGCAGACTGTCCTGGCTCACCGGAGCATACTTCTCTGATAAGACTGAAGATTTTTGATAGAGAGTCAGTCTTTTCATTAAAGATCTCATTCATTCTTTCATCTTTGTCCTTTTCCTTATCGACTGATTCCCTGGCTGATTCCATAAGTCTGAGAGCTTCCTCTACATCATCCTGAGAGACTGTTGTGCTCTGTCTAATCTTTGCAACGGCCTGAGAAATTCTGATGATTCCTAACAAAGTTCTGGGAGTGATGTAGTTATTCGAGTTCTTATAGTTGTCTCTTGAAGATATTTTTTGTTTCTGGTCAACATAGCTGCTGACAATGAAGTTGTGAATATCCTTAGGGATGATTGGCTCAATTCCAACCACAGTGGAGATGAAACCTCTGATGAAGTCGTGGGAGTAAGGCTGGAATGCCAGCTTTGGTGGGCAACTGTTCTGATGAACATATGCAACGTGCTTTGCAAGCTTAGCATCATGTTCTTCATTAGCTCTGTCGAGCATGAGGAAGATGATATCGAACCTAGACATCAAGGCTGCTGGGAGATTAATATTTTGGTTTACTGACAACTTCGTATTATATCTACCATACACTGGATTTGCGGCAGCAAGAACAGTAGTACGAGCGTTGAGACTGCAAGTCATTCCTGCTTTGGCAATAGACACAGTTTGCTGTTCCATGACTTCATGAATGTTGGTTCTATCTGTCTCATCCATTTTATCAAACTCATCAATACAGCAAACTCCCATATCAGCAAGGACAAGAGCCCCTCCTTCAAGGATTAATTCTTTAGTCAATGGGTCTCTGATGACTGCTGCTGTGAGACCAACACCTGAACTCCCTTTACCAGTTGTGTAGATACCTCTTGGGGCAAGGTTAGCGACAAGCTTGAGAAGCTGAGATTTGGCGACACCAGGATCTCCCATCATAAGACAGTTGACATTTCCTCTGATCTTCATTCCATCTTTCATTATTTTAGTGACACCTCCTACCATTGAGAGGAGAAGTGATTTCTTTATATCAATATGACCGTAAATTTCTGGTCCAATACTCTCAGCGAGTCTCTGGTACATAGTATCCTTATGCTCTCTCTTTTCTGTTTCGATTTCTTCTTCAAGCTGAGGAGAAATGTTGAGTTCTTTGTAGGTCTTCTTCTCCTTCTTGATCTTGAAGGGTTCAATAAAGGTATCATGAATCAATCCTGCTCTCATTCCTCTGAAGCCACTGTATGGAGCTGGCATGTGAATTCCTGTCACCTCGACAATGTCTCCTGGAGTGCATTTGTTTACAAGTAGTCCCTTAACCTGGAGATTTAGGGTCCTGGGAACATGTCCAACAGGTACTTGATCAGAAAGTTCCTGAACTTTGACATCTTGGTAGCTCACAAATTTTGATCCTCTGACTTGCAAATAGAGCTTTCCTTTCACTTCATCTTTAATACATTTGAGAGAGGGGCAATCAACAAGAGGAGTGAATTGCTTTCCTGGGACAGTTTGGTATGATTCATTACCACATGACTCACAAGAATAACATGCTACTTCAATGCTTGGTCTTACTTCAGTGCATTTTGTCACAATTCCTCTAAAAGTAACTAAACTTCCAATAGTCTCAGCATGGATCTCTCTCATTTTGAGTTCATGGGATTTCTCTTCAGGTCCTCTGATGATGTAGAGCTCATAGTTCCTAGCCATTTGTGGAGCCAATTTATCTCTTGGGTCCTCAATGGTTCTATAGTTAGCATCATTCTTCTCTTTATTAGCTTGGATATTCTCCATTCTTTGCTTGAAAATGATGGAAGATACACTCTCTTCATAGCCGTCTGGAGGTGGCATTGTTCTCTCAGGCATCAATTTATCAATAATTTCACTGAAAAGAGAGATATATCTCTTTGTGTTTCTTGCGACTCTGTCTACGAATGCTGGATCTCCTCTAAAGTGTTGCTCCAAGTCCCCAACCTCGATTTGAATAACCTTCCCACGATTATTGGAAATATTTTGCATTTGAACCATGTATTTTGTCTTTCCATGAGTAGCATCTGCTTCCATTCCTGGGTCTTCGTATTGGCTGATGAAGTCTTCACATTTAACTATAAGTTAGAGTTCAGATCTGTTCAAAAGAATTGGCTTACCCCTTTCATCATCATAATTTGGTCTGTAATACTCTACTGCTTGAGCCATTTTCCGCGAAAATTTAATTTATAACTAAATTTAAGAGATGCCGCTTTTTGTCTCATCTTCCCTCAATAACCTAGACAGGGCAAGGGGTTTTGGGGTTTTGGGGTTTTGGGGTTTTGGGGTTTTGGGG